AGTTTAATTTTAGGAACACGACCAGCCATTATGAGCACTTCTACATGGCAGGATGGTAGGTACTGCTTCACTTGAAGACAAGGTGACCTAAGTGCATGTTTAAAGTTAAGCATGTGCTTAGGTGCTTTCCGAAGTAAGGTTGGACATAAAACTCTGCTTTCCACCCTGGGAGCCATGTCGTGCAGTCCTGGCAGTTACTTAAGAAAATCTCCCACTGTCTTCGGATAATGTTGAACTATTTTGAATAATACAGCGCATGAGAGAGAAGGGGAGGGCCTGATCCTGATTCCATTAAAGTCAATGGCAAAACTCCCACTAACTTGGATGCATGTAGGATTGGGCCAAGATATAGCGACACTGAAGTCGATGGGCAGTTTTGCCTTCGTAAGCTCTGTCAGATGTGGCCCCGGCTTCCATTGAGTATGGTGTTACTGTTTGGTATGGAACATAGAGGTGAAACACTTACAAGTTAAACATTATTATAAGGTTTGCCCAACCTCTCCACCCTCAGGAAGGCCTGATCCTGCAGACACTTATACACATGCTTTACTTTAAGCATGTGAATGGCTACCCTGAAGTCAACGGGAATATTCACTTGCTTCAAGTTAAGCCTACGTGTCTGCAGGAGTGGGGCCTTAGAAGTTAGTAGACAAGCTCATTGAAATTTAGTTAAAAACCAGCTTTTGTGCATTCTACTGCCTGAATGCAACTACCTCTACAGAGCCGGTATAACAGAGAAGGGAAAAGAGACGCCATGAAATTTAGTGGGAACTTTGTTTCGTGGATTTAATTTCCCCAGGAATTGCTTAGATACTATGGTGATGGGTGCTGTAAAAAACCTATAGCTAGCTAATGCCTGCTGTTTTTTATTTTGCATTCATCTGCTAAGCCAATGCATATGCAGATGTATGCTAAACATACTGGTCTTTACAGCTTACCAGGCAAACAATGCTGAACAAAAGGCTTTGTTTGCAAAAAATCCAGGTAAAGCTAGTATTATGTGTGCATTGTTGAAATGTTCTGAACAATAGCATGAACAGTAATTTTTGTTCCAGTGTTTTAGTGACTGGCAATATCTAAATGGCAGAGGAAGCTCTGAGAGAGACTGCAGTGTGCGGGTTTACTCCAGCTTAATAGGGATTCTTTTTGTTCATTCTTTTGAGATTCTTTTTGTTCATTTTTAATTAGACTAATTACAAAAATATGATCTCCACGTTGAGGATAAAAAGATAAAGACATGGCCCTAGCTAATGTTCTGCTGATGTCATTGTTTAGAATTAGTGCCAAGAAAGAGAAAAGATGTAACACTGGGCCCGTGGAGAGATTAGTAATGGGGCAATAGCACCGAGAATTAAAAACGAATCCAGTGTTAACTCTGCTATTTGGATGGCATTTAGTCACAAGTTGCTCCTTAGGTCAGAGTGAGTCAGTAAGTGCCTTTTAAATACCGTAAATCCCTGAGCCGCGTTTTGCTGTTCAGACTCATTCAGGTTTGCTGGAATCCAGCTTGTCCTGGAATGGATTGGTTAATCCCTCCTTTTACAACACCTCTCAGGAATCGCAGAAACTTGCAGCTGGCTTAGAATGAAATCAATTTCGGGAAATAAGAACCTGGCACAGAGGCTGATCTTGGGAGGTGGCGATCCCCTCATCTTCTACTGATGTTGACAGACTCATGACCAGAGCACTCTGAGTAGCCAATGATACTTGGACAGATTTGTACATTGCGGGCTACTTTAGCTGCTGTTTTACAGCTACTATCGCTCTACTCTGCCTCCGTGGTTCCCTTTTAATTTATCTAGAGCTAGAGAACCCTCCATAATGTACCCCTGCCCCCATCATAGACTGTCCTTATGATCTAGAAAATATAAATCAAGATCTTCTATGCCACTGCCAGGTTCTCTCTCCTTTAAATACACTAAAGGCCTGATCCAAAGCTCACTGAAGTCAATGAGTCTTTCCCTTGATGTCAGCAAGCTTTGAAGCAGACCCTAAACCAACACCTTCGAAAGCAGGGCCCCCTCTGAGTCAATCACTCTGCAAGTGTTAATTTAGCATGGCAAGACACAAATGCCAGGGCAGCAGCAGTGACTGACAACCTTTAAAATATAGATGAAAACCCAACTATTGTGCCTGTGGTTACCTGGGGTTAAATCTGGTTTAGATCGTAAGTGAAACCAAGTTTAATGGTTTCATCTTACTCCCAAGAGGGCCCAAGGCTGCTGCATGCTCAGGCCCAGCTGACCGTCTCAGTGTAAATATAATGAGGAGTCCAGTGGCCCCTTAAAGACTAACAGATTTATTTGGGCATAAGCTTTCGTGGGTAAAAAACCCACTTCCTCAGATGCATGGAGACTAATCGATAAGGCTAACATGGCTACCCCTCTGATACTTGGTCTCAGTGTAAGAGAACCAGGATTGTGGCAGATCACACACAAGTTGTTTTGTCAGTGCCACTAGATGGTATAGCCTTTACCTGCACTGTGACTAGCATTAGCAAACCCTTATTTTCACAAGAACTAATTAGTTCATGAGAACTAATTTCACTCATAGTTGGTGCCCTTGCTTGTCAGAATTCTTCAAAATCTATATACAGATTTTCCTGAAGAAAATGCTGAATTCTAGAAAAAATATCTGATAATCACGGAACTTTAAAGCAAATCCTCTTCAAATAACTCGAATCTCTTTAGATCGTGAATAAAAGAGAGTGCAGAGTAAAGGATCTCTTCTTTGGAAAGAGTGTAAAATGGCCCAGGTCTTCCAAAGAACAAGAGAACAGAGGAGAAATGGAAGATTTTTGCATTTCACTTATGCCTGTTTCCAAAGGAGAAAATGCTCTATGCTGCATAGGAGACTGAGGGTTGTGCGTCTCCCCAAGCATGTTGGGGGACAGATGGGCCTCTACGTTCTGGTAACTGTATGAATGGTTCACGTTTGATGGAGTAGTTGGGAAATACAGGTGTCAGGATAAATCAGGGCACACGTCTTGAGTATAAATCTTCCCAGAAGCTTAGAAGGAAAAAATAGAAAGGACCAGAATTTCCTCCTCTACCTGCCTACAAATAAAGAGTGTTTTTATTGGGATAAAAGGGAGGGGAGGCATGCGGCTGCATTTTCATTCCATGTACAGTGTGTGGGGTGGACTCTGACAGCTATAACACTGGTGTAGAGCCTCAGTAACTCTATCAAAGTCGGTGGAGTTACACCAGTGTCACTGAGATCAGAATCTGGCCTCCTAATTTTGAAATGTTGGCCTCCTCCCAGCCCTAGTTCGGTGATGCACCACCTGAGTAACACAGCTCAGGCAGTGCAGGACAGGTGAAGCAAAGAGACAGAACCACCTTTGCACCCTCTGAATTCCCGAGCCTAGCCACAACTTCGAGCAGTCAAGGGGTTACTCTAAATTATGCCAGCCTTGAACGGCTGCCTATGGGCCACTTTGCCAGAACATATGGCATTCCAGCTTCTATCCCCAGAATGCTGGGGCAGCACAGGAAGGCAATGTAAGGTTGCACTATGCCCCCTACGTTGGTGGATTCCCCATTCCCCCTCCCCATCTGGGTGTTGACAGCATATATGGTTAGGGTGCAGAATCAGAGCTTTCAGGTACAAAACACCCTAAAACACAGGCATGGAAAATCTGAGATAAGAATTCCTGCAGCCTCTTTGCAAAGTATCTTTTCCCTGCTATAGGGTAGAGTAGGGGGTTAAAAATCATGATGCAGATTCTCAAGTGTTAGTTCCATTGAGGACAGTGTCTCCCACCTGTGGATCAGGCCACTGCACACATTAAACAAAAATCCCTCAGCTTTGTGAAAAATAAAACTTGTCAGTTTGTCTGCTTAAAAAAATAGAATTTTCCTTTCACCCTTTCTGCTGTTACTTTTTTGTTCACTCAGCTGGAACGATGAAACTAGCTCAGCCTTGTCACTCGCCCTTTTGTTTATATTCAGTCCCTCCTCTATTTCACTGCTGTGGGCTGAGGGTTAAGTAAGGTGATTCTCAACCATACTGGGGTCCCCAGCCAGGTTCCAGCAGGGACCCCTCCTTCTCATTTAGCAGTATGGGGACAGGCACTCTGCTCTTCTCAATTGCCATCTGGCTTCTGCAGGCTGCAGAGGTAAAGTTAAATCCAACCAACAAACTGTTTGGTTTATTGAAGGGTTTGAATTTAGATTTATAGCAAAATCCTTTAAAATAACCCCAAACCTACATTCTGAGCAGTAAGTGTGGCCATTGCCTCCTGCTTACCTAAATTCCACCTGCAGCTTCAGCTAAATGTCCTGACTCTGATTCCCTGACCTCACCTACTCCAGTGTAAGGGCCTGGCCCAAAAAACAATCCCTAGTCAGGAAGGGCACCTAAGCATGTGATTACCCATAAGCACCTGTTGCAGCGCCATTGAAACACGTCCCCTTAAATAAAGGGTTATGTGCTTTTCTGAATCAGGGCCAAAATCGGGAGTAACTAGGATGAAGCTTAACTTCCAGAGGGTGCTTAAGTCTTTGAAGCATGAAGCACCTTAATCAGCTACCCACTCCCGCCTCAGCGGTGGCTGCCTTTTGGTGAAAGATGAAATGATTCCTATAGACTGTGGGGTGTAGAAACCCTGCCAGGGTTGATGGGCAAAGGAAACCAGGACCTGAGAAGGGAAATGCAGTGACCACTGCAGCTGGGGCTGCAGGAGCTAGTGTCCTTAGTTCCATCCTTGGCAGCTCAGGGATGAAAGGCAGTGCCTGGAGGCCAGCTCCTACTCCTGTACGAACACAGGCCAGGAGAGGGGTCCATCCCTCTGCGCCCAGACCCCTGGAGAGCCCCAAGGGCCTGACGCGCACCCGGCTCCAGGGCATTTCCGCAGCATCCCACGGCGGGGTTCGGGCTTCAGTGGGCGCTCGGGATGGGCGAGTCCGGGCTGCTGCAATGGAGGGGGGAGCTGGCAGGTGATCAGGGCTGGGTGGAGGGGGTGGTTAGCGCCTAATACCTCCCCCTGGAGCGGCGCCACACGCGCTCCGGGCACCGCTGCCCGGGGGTGGCTGGGTCGGGGGAGGTCTGGCAAGGTGCGGGCTGCGCGGCAGCTCTCCCAGCGGCTCCGGCAGCGGGCTGGGCTCCCGCGCTCCGGCTGGCGGCGGCGGGTCCGGGTGTGGACCAGAGACACTCGCCGGGCGCTCACCTGCTGCCGCCGAGCCGCCAGCCCGGAGCCGCCCTGCGGCGGGCTGCCCCGCTCCCAGCCCTGCCTCTCGGGGAGCGCCCCGCCCCGGGCCCCCGGTGCCTCCGCTCCGCCACTAGCCCCCTGCCCCGGCGCCCGAGCCCGATCCCTGGCTGGGCTCCCCCGGCTCCGCTGCGCCGCGCGGGCCATGCCCTGGATCCGGCGGGACCGGCTGCTCATCCTGCTGCTGCTCGGGGCGCTGCTCAGCGCCGACCTCTACTTCCACCTCTGGCCCGAAGTGCGGCGGCAGCTTGCGGGGGCCGAGCCGGGCTGCCCCTGCCTGCGGGCGCCGCGCCCCGCGCTGCCCCCTTCGCCGGCGGCCGCCTCCCCGAGCGCCCGGGGCTCCAAGCTGCGGCGGCTCTTCGCTCACCCGCTCTACCGCGCCCCGGAGCAGCCGCCGCGGGGGCCGGAGGAGACGCTGCTCAGCCGGCAGGAGGCGGTGCGCTACTACCGCCGGAAGATGGTCCGCTGGAACAGGTGCGTCCCGCCCGGGTCCCCTCCCCGCCGGGGGCAGGCTCCTAGCTCGTCCCGGACACCCCCCGGGGACAGCCGCCTCCTCCCCCCCCAACCCTGGGTGTCCCCATGCCGGGTTCCTGCCCACCCCCCCCAGTGCCAGGCTGCTGCTTCTCCCCAGCCCCGCTGGAGCGCGGGTGCCCCTGCCCACCCCATACCCCGGATACCCACCCGGCCCCCATTCCCTGCCCGTGGAGCTAGGGCCCCCCCCCACACACACACACCCACATACACTGTGTGTCTTGCTTCCCGGGGGCATCTGCTTTGCTCTCCGGTTGGTCTCTCCAGTTCTCCAGGCTTCTCAGCTCCCTCAGTCCCTGCCACCCTGTCCCCATTGACTGTCTCTGCGGGATGCCCCATCTTCACTGCAGACCCATGTTCGCCCTCCTCTTAGGAAGAGAAGTGTCAGAGGCCAGACGGAGACCTCCCCCGGCCCATTGCACAGCTGGCCTCACTTGTTCTCTGTGATAGGGGCTGGGTGGTTTCCTGCAGGACCATTCTCCAGCTTTGTTCCGAGGGCCTGTCCCAGGCTTTCCTTTCTCCAGGCAGCCTGTGAGATCATCCCACTCGATCTGGGTGGCTCTTCTCTAACTTCTCTGGTCTGATCTCTTGAGGCAAAACACAGCGCTGGCCCAGGCTTACTTGGGCAGGTGGGTGACAGCCAAGCGCTGTCCGTGGTGAGTGAGGCTGGGCTGAATCTACTAGACAAGTTAACTCATTTTCAGGGCTTTTGATTTATAGGCTGGGATTGTGGTCCATACCGCATGAGGCCCCAAGGCCTGTAATGGCCCCTATCAAAGGTTGGCAGTGGGGAACTGGCCCTGGGATCTGCCACACCAGAAGTACAGCCACACTGGTGCTGGGTGCCTTGACTGACACTGTTGCTGTATACCCACCAGAAAACACCTAGCCAGCAGCCGGAGTGTGGGCCAGAAGTGAACAGCCCCTCCTCTAGGGATCCTCCAGAGCAGGAACTGTGGGGAAAGAGTCCAGGGCAGGACGGAGGAATCAGGCTGCATGGACAGTCCATGACGGAGGAGAGGCCTGGATGCGGCCCTAGGTTGAAAAGGGTTCCCCTCTCACAGATTCCTGTGATCCATAAGGTTGGGAGTAGGAGGAGCCTCCAAATTTACAGGAAAACTCCCCCGGGCTTCCTTTCCCCCAGCTCCCTGGGAAGGGGTGATCTGGCCCATTCATGCAGCCTCTCAACACAGCTGGGCTGGAGGAGATGAGTTTTATTATCACCATCCCTGTTTTGCAGAGGGCATTGCAGAAGCCCAGCAAAGGGCTGATTTTTGAAAGGTGCTGAATGCCTCCAGCTCCCACTAACTGCGGGGTGCTCAAGGCCTTTGGAAACCAAGTTGTAAATATCTTGCCCAAGACCAGACAGGCCAGTCTGTGGCAAAGCAGGGAATGCTCTGACCCAGGTTTCCTGACTCCCAGAAGACCTGCCCCACCCTCCTAGCCCATCAACAGTCCCACAGAGCAACAGTCACACTGCAGCTTCATCCTTAGCAAGCAGGACAATTGAAACAACGACGACTGTGGCTGGGACAGCGCCTAGTTCTATGAATTCCCTTTTATGTCTCTAGGACAGAGTAGGTGGAGCAGGGATCTGGAGAGGGCCCTCGCAAGGAAAATAGGTAATTGCCTCTTCTAAAAAAAACAGCCAGCGTACAAAACAAATTGTGTCAGAGGGAGGCTGTGTGCCAAAGTGTGCTGAGAAGATAACCTTTGTAAATGCAGTGATTGTGCTTGTTTAGCTACTTACCTGCAACCTTTAAACCACAGGGGTCACTTTTTCTGCTTGACTTTTCTACGGGACGTATGTTGGCACTGCAGCCAAAATCATCCTCACAGACCTGCCTGCCTCTCTGTTTTGAGCATGTGCTCTAAACCGTGCCGCTTACGTGTCACAATTTCGTACATTTTTTTTTTTAACAAGCAATGATCTTGGATCCAGAAGATCAGTGGGAGCTTGTGACCTTGCTCTGGCTCAGCACTGCAAACTGTACGTCTATATAACCACTGGGATGTAACAGTAGAATTAAACAAGCCCGTCACTTATCATAAGGGCCCGATCCTGCTGTCCCGCTGGAGTCAATGGCAACAGACCCATTGACTTCAGTGGGAGTGGAGCCCAGTTGCATTGTTATAACAATATCCAGCAGCAGAGAGCAAAGGTATGAAGGCTTGTAGCGCTCCTCGATAGTAGTAGAGAGGTGCCCTTTTCACCCTTCCGAGTCGTTGTTTAAACAGCATCAAATAAAAATAACAGGGTGCTACACAAACTTGACTCCAGAGATGAATACGGAAAACAAAATTAAATGGTGCTTGAGCAGAATCCGAACTGTGTGATGAGCCTGCTCCCACGGAGCCTTTTCCCAAAGGATCTCAAAGCGCTTCAGAGACGTTAGTTAACAATGCCTCCCGCTTCCCTTTGCATGTTCCTTCTGCTCAGTTTACACACAGGCAAACTGAGGCGCTCAGAGGCGAAGTGACCATGTCAGTGGCAGAGCGGGGAATAACGCCTGGTGTGCTCACTGCTGATACTTCTCGAGAAGCACTCCCCTGTTCTAACCATTAGACTATGCTCCCTCCCTCCGAGATACTCTGGGCCCAATTCCAGCCCCAGCGGGTGCAAGTCCCAGGGAAGCTAATCGGCGAAGTGCCCACATATGTTGGCGCTGAATTTGTCCTTTTGTCCTTGCATGGCACATTTGCCTGTAATAGTGCCCCTTGCCATGGTCTATGACAATACACCATGCGATGCTGCATCAACACACCTTTTCTCTCATGCTGTGTTCCTCCATGCTACACTCTGGGTCCCGTCTCAGAAGACTGAGGAAGCCACCTCTTTGTTATCACTGCAGCCCCAACCATTTTCCTGTGGCCCGCAGTTTTTCTGGACCATTGGAAGCTACTGCCCTCCCCCTCTGTCCACCCACTTGCTGTCACAGCAAGAAAGCCTGGCCCTCGCTGGAAAGGAATTGCAGCAACACATCCGGGCAGGCTTTCAGAAGTGACAGTTGTGGAGAGAAAGGCAGGGGGAGTAAACTGGCAGCCGTGTACACTGCGTGCTGTGTACAGCAGTTTGTGAGGAGGAAGAGAGGAAAGAGGGGGTGTGGGCAGGAAGAGCGAGGAGTTGGGGAAGGAGAAAGTACAGGGAAGGAGTTGAGTTAGCGCGTGAGGCGAGCTGGTGGGGGATTTTCTAACAAACCATTTTTACGCTGGAAAATGCTGATTCATCGACACTGAAACGGCTCCCAGGAAAGGGGCAGGTTTGCCAAAACTACAAAATCTGGAACATTCTTGGGGAGAAGAAAAGTTTTGAAATGGTTAAAATGCCCTGGTTTGAAACATTTGGAAAATGAAACATTTTGTTTTCTTGTTGGAAATGACTTTTCTGTTTGAAATTTGAGTTTATTTATACTAAAATATAAAAGTTAAAAATGTTGAAAAGTCAAAATTGAGACAAAATGCTTTGAAAAAAGAAAAGGAGTACTTGTGGCACCTTAGAGACTAACCAATTTATTTGAGCATAAGCTTTGAGTGGCCCAAGGGAATTTTCTTTCAGACTATAAGTTCATGGAAAATGTTGAGCTTTCAATATGGGGGCCTGCTTAAGGATGAGAAAAAATTTCGAAGTCTCAAAATTTCTCGTGGGGCAGGAGACCAGTTTCTGGCAGCGGCTAGGGTGGACCTTGTATTCTGGAGAACACCAGTCATATGGCGTAAATGGGAACCACTCAGTTGGAGAGTGAAAATCGTTCTTGATGTTCCCTCTAGAGATGCAGCTTATTCTATGTCATGCTACCAGTCCTAAGATGTTCAGATCAAAGAAGATCACACGAGAAAGGGGGTCAATTGCCTTTAGCTAATGCTCAGTGAATGGTTATCCTTATCACGAAACCAACACCCAGTTCAGCCTCATTAACAGGTCCTGGGCTGGAGATACACAGGCTCTGAAGCTGCTCTTTCCTGAGCTGCTCATAATTCATGCTTGCTATCTAATTTATACCCAAGATAAACTACCAGACCTGCTCCTACTTTACACTTTAAGAGCAAAAGCATAAACCCTTGCAAAGTGTTTTAAAAATCTCCACACACTACTACATAGATCCTAGCAAGCACCACTTCCTTCCACCCGCTAAGTCTGCTGTGAGGGAAATCCAAACCTTTGCACTCTGGTTCCATGGGGTGTTTCAAGCTCCTGGAGCTTGAATGGAGTCTAGCTACTGCCTCATTCTCGGGGTCCTTACATGCACTCTCAGGGTGTTGGAACTCGCTCTCCAGCTACCTAGCCCCTCTGGGTGCAGCACTGACCCTTCAGACTCCCCAATACTTAAACACACCCCCTCTTCCAGACCTCCACCCCAAAGGTGCAAAGCTTCTGGTTTACTGTTTAACTCTCTCAGGGGCAAGCAGTACTTGTGAAGCAGTCAACACACACACACACACACGCTTTGCCCAATCTAACACCTTTATGCTCTTTTATATTTAAAGCACAGAAGAGTATGGATCGTACAAAACTATAAACACTAAACGCATGGCCCTGCCTCAGTTTCCTCACCACTCTTTAAGCTGGAGTCTGGGTCTCTTGGATTTGCCAGAGTCCTTGGGACCATCTGGGATCAGGAATAGGGCAGGAGGGTCCTGCCCATATCAGGTTAACCTCTCCCTCCTGGACTGGAGAATATGCCCCCCCCCCCCCCCGAAGTTAGCAGATCAGCCTCTACCCTTGTAAAATCTTCAGCCCCCTACCCTCCCATGTCAGGTGACACCCTTGCCAGGTTCCCCATCTGAACACAAACCCCTCCCAGGTGACTTTGTTGCCAAGGTGACTTAGCCCCTGCTAAACCAGTTCTTCTGGACAGGGACCAGTCCTTTGTCAAGAGTGAACTGATTTCCAACAATTGGGTACTTAAGAGCCAAATCCCCTCTATTGTTGTTCTTTTGCCACC